TATCATATCAACTCATCCCATCTATTCATCTCACCTATCACATCAACTTATCCCATCCATCCATCTCACCTATCATATCAACTCATCCCATCTATCCATCCCACCATTTTTTCCTCCCTCCTCTCAAATCAACCCTAACCAATTCAAACTGGTAAGAGCTGTGCTGCGGGGTCATACATGGACTGTGTAGCAGCTGCCAGAGGCACCATCACATGCTTTCAGTTCAACCCTGTTGAGCTGTGCCACCAATACTGTGCTTGCGGTCGAAAATAAAGATATTGGTATTTTTTTACCAGCTTACTTCAACTTACCTCATCAATGTGGCTACAGTTTGGTCTTTTTGTTGTGATAGTAGGTTCATTACAGTTCTCAGTCCATGACATCGTATAGTCTCATCTGTAGACTAGATAGACATCATCATGTACATTTATAGGCTTCAAATCATTTTTGTTCACAAGTTTCCTTATTATTGTGACAGAGCAAGTTTAGAGCTGACCAAATCTCTAGTTTTCTTTACAAAATTATGAAAAATCTTTTTTAAATCAAGGTGAGCTGGGCACCTTGAACCCCTCCCCAGGCACCCACCCAAGGCATGATACTCAGGTTACTCCACAGAGGAATTTTTTTAAAGACCTACCCCTACCCCTAGAAATCCCAATGTTCTTCCATACAAACTCTGTAATTTTGTTCTTTCTCTGACCCTCCACCCCTTGGAAATTCCTAATTCCTCTGTGTTTGGGGGGAGGGGGTATGGATAATTTTAGGAACTATACATTGGCTGTTAAAGTGGGTGGTATTAACAGATTATAAAAAGTACAAAAGTAAATGGCAAAACATAAATATTAACTCATTTACTGTCCTAAAGATGGACCAGGTAGGGAAAAACTGTGCCCTCGGCATAGAAAATGGGCCCATGCCTAATTCCATGTATTCAAGAGTCACCTCGGGCAAAGTTTTGACCTATCCAGACCTCTTGGCCAGGGAATAACATTCTATTTTTTAGCACTGAAAGATTACCTTCAGATGTATCTGAATTACTTGTGATAGAGAACAAATCTGAAAAATAAGTTTTTGCATTCAATAATTAGACTAATGACTATATTATTAAAGATGGATAGCACTTCTTTTGTTTACAGTTATATCACAAGAAAATGTTTTTCATACCAATATTGCTGAATTTTGATGAAACGTAGAAAAGTTGGCCAAGGCTCTAGAAACATGAGTCTAAAATCAAAGAAAAATACATAATTAATGGCCACATAAGAATCAAAACCAGCCTAAGGTGAGGACGTACACGTACTGTAAATGAGGATTGGTAATAATTAACTTGATGATGGTGGTTATGGTGGTGGTGGTGATGATGATGATGATGATGATGATGATGGTGGTGGTGGTGATGAGAATTTAATATGATGGTGGATGATGATGATAATAATGATGATCATGATGATGACAATGTTAGTGATAATGATTGTGACGTTGTTGTAACCCTGTCACAACATTACAATGATGATAAGTGATAGCGATAATGATGAGAATGATGTCTAGTGATGATAATGATGATGAAATAATGATGGTGTTGAGAAAGATGTCCAGTGATGATGATGATGGTGATGAAAATGTTGTACAGAGATGATGATGAAATGATGATGGTGATGAGAATGATGTCCAGTGATGATAATGATGATGATGAAATGATGGGAATGATGATGGTGATGAGAATGATGTCAGTAATGATAACGATATAATGATAATACATTATCTTCTGCTTTTGAAGCCATCATAGTCTATGATAAAATAAGTATTCCAAGAAGCATTTAATATTCTCATAGGTTTAACCTGTATATCATTGTGTTCTGCATGTGATGACATCACGCTACACATGGCCTCTAGACAATCTCTTAAAGACATCTATGGAAGGAGATATAAAATGAGTATAATTGAAAGGAATGAACAAACAGATGGATAAATGGTAGAACCTACATAGCACTCAGTTGATGTAATGTATTTATGAAATTTATTGTATTCTATTTTCGTAATGACTATTGTATTAGGTGTGATTCATTGTAAGTTTTTTTCATGAATACATTACATTAACTGCTTGCTACGTAGGATCTCTTGGCCATGGATGAATGGCTAGTGGGTAGATAGGTGAGCTGGTGGATGAACCGACAGAAGTCATGGATAGCTGGTAAACTGTAGAAGATGAATRCTTCTAACATCCAACATACATCAGCTGGTATTAGAGATAGTTGACTGTTGCATAATCTGAGTGCTCTATATGTGGTAATACCTGATCTTGTTCTCCTAATGCTAGATTTGCTATCAGTGATGAAGCATTCACTAGCACCTACCAAAAAAAAAAAAAAAATTGATAATAGGTTAATAAGCTGAGAAGGAAGCATACAATGATTTGTCACTTGTCACCACTGAAATGGAAACTCTGAAAAAAATACAAGTCCTGATAGGAATTGAACCCATGACCTTCTGGATGCTGGTCAGATGCTCTACCACTGAGCTAGTACAGGAAAGACTCTTGATGAGTGGTCATTTACTGGGCTCATTATGACAAACGGCCTACAACTGCTAGATACATTCATTCAGATTCAATTAATTCAGAATCTTTCTAGATAAATAATGATGAGAATAGGTTAATAAGCTAGGAAGAAAGTATAGAATAATTTGTGGTCATTTGTCACTAGCTGAAAGAAAAACTGAAAATATCAGAGTCCCTGATAAATTGTAGGACTCATGACCTTCCGGAAGCCGGATGAATACTCTACCACTGAGCTATAGTAAAGACTCATGACGAGCAGTCATTTACTACATTCATTAAAAAGAGAAGAATATTGTAAATTTTCATTATGATTATAATTTTGTTTAATAATTCGTTACATACAATTATAATTTGCAAATGTATACCTGGAGATTTTTTGGTCCTCTTCTAAGTGATTCCACTAAACATCTACCAGCTGAAAAATCCTCCTTCAAAAATAAAAAAAATCTAATGATTTAAACGTCTTCATAAATGATCGAATAAGGTGCTGTTCATCTCAATTAAATCACATTTCATTAGGAGTAGTGGAACAAACAGCACATAGTCAAAAACTGAGGAAGTTAACCCTCATGCACCACTTGTTTCCACTACTTGGATAGAAGTGCATGCCGCACATGGCACCCATATTTCTAAATAGTGTACCTGGACAATCCTGTGCCGTTGCCAATCAGTACCCATGGACATCTGAGAAAGAATCCTAAGTGAAATCTCCTGAATCTGAGGAGTTAAGATGATCATCTCATTACTACTAATATTAAACAATTTTAACTTTGATTAGACATGATGATATAATTTTATTGCCGGTTGACTTAATGAGGATTCAGTTCTTCCCTGTCGACCCCTTTTTGTCTATTGTCATCTTGCATTTGCCAAAAACGTTGTTGTAATATATTATTTTAATATACTCAACAAAATTACACAATTCTGATTGGACAAGAGGAGTACAATTAAATCCTGAAATCGTACTCCGTGGAGTCCCAAATAAGTTGCTCAATTTCGTTGACTGTATTATAAACAAAAAATCGCACAATCTTTTCGTACAATTCTGAATTTATATATACCAGATACTTGTTATGTTTTGAAAGTCCTCAAATTGCACAAAGGCTCGTCGAATTTCAAAAACTTTCAAAACATCAGTGGTATTCATAAATTCCAAATTGTACTCGAGATCTTGCAATTTCCTATACTAAGAAATAAATGCAAAAAATTATCCATGTCTGGAAAATAATTTTCCATTTTTTCTAGACATGATTTGTATCTTGCTCAGGTTTTGCCAGTACTGTTTTTTTTAAACATTTTTCTTAGACAACTCACTTTTTCATCATTTGCTTTTGTTAAAGCTAAGATCCTTGGAAGAGCATTTCTATCACTCTAAAAAATAAAAAAATTAAGAGAAAAAATTTGAAATGGAAATAACATGAATTTGAGATGAGGTCATGTGCTGTGGTAATCAGTGATGTCACATGATGTCATAATGTAATGTCGAGTGGTGTGGTGTGCTTCAGTATGTGCAATGCAATCAAATAATGTACAGTCCTGTGATGTGCCATCAAAGAGATTTAACAACTGCATTCCCTCTGACATGTATTGTAAATATATAGTTTAGGTATTACTTTATAGTTAGGGATCTATATACATGAAGTTTGTTCTCATGCTCTCAAAAGAAGTCATGTTTACTGTAGCATTGCTGCCTTTATTTTTCTATATGTTTTTTCTATTGATTTGGAGTAAGATGGATCAAGAGTTTAATATATATAAATTCCACAGTTTGTACAAATATATAGTCTGCTTGTCAGTGACTGGCTACGGATGTGAGTGAAACTGATAATACCTCTATGAGTGGTGCCAGATTRCCATGGTGTTCTACGATGTGGCTCAGTGTCATCATTGCTAGTAATGCAATAGCTTCTTTCATGGCACACAGCGATAATACAGGATTCAATGCTCCATCTGCAAGGGCTAAAAAAGGGTCCAAAAAAGGTAAAAAAATGTAAAAAATACAACTGTTTAAATTACACATATCTTTAAAAAATTGATAGGATATATATTAAAGAAAGGGCAGTGACAGATGTAGAGATGCAATGGGTAAGTGGGTGTTTGGATAGATGAGATTGAATAAAGGATGGAAGAATAGAATAAATATCCCAACCATCCATTCTTTCATCAATTATTGATGAAAGAATGGATGGTTGGGATGATCATACATGTAGGGGTGTATAGATGGATGGATGTAATAAATGGCAAGGATTGATAGAATTAATGGAGTGATCAAGGGATATATGGATGGATGGAGAGGATGGGATAGATGGATGGAGGATGGGATGAAATGAATGGATGGATGGATGGCAAATAGACATAGATAAATAGGTGGGATTGGATGGATGGATAGAATTAATAAATGGATATATATGATAGCTGGTCTACAGGTTGGAAAGGTGATTGGATGGATAGGGAAATTGGATAGATGGATTGATGAAATTAATGGATAGATGGAATATTGAAGCATGGATGGATAGGTGGACACTGTTAGATCAATGAATTATTAATATCAGTTTTATAACATTAATTTACCTCCAAAGTTTCACTCACCCTGAGCCTTGAGTTCTTCTGACTTACAGAATATCATTAGTGCGCTTATCCCATCCAAAAGAGTTTGCTCTTGGGTCTCATTAGTTGTGGATAATATACTGCAATAAGATTAAGTTACCCTTCTTCACTATAACACTTCAATAAAGTAATCTATGTAAATTTTATCAGCTGAAAACTGTGCAACAATTTGTCACATGTTTTGCGACATCCAGCCGTTCTGAAATAGTGACAAATAAATAACGTCACTGCAAAACTGAGGTGTCATGAAGCCTGTGAAAATTGAGCAAAGGTTTAATTATGTACCTATAAGCCACAGTCGAGTGGGTGCATAACATTTTGACCAAATGTTGACATCATATTATGGTAAATAAGAGGACATGTACCATGCTAAACCATTGGAAATTTGTTTTTTTACTAAAAAATATATGGAAAAAGTCTGAAAGAAAAAGGTTACAAGAGTGCGCTAGCTCTGGGTGCAACTGATTTGTAATTTGTTCAGACGTAATTTGTTGGTACAGTATGTCTTCCTATTTACCATGGCTCTTGACCAATCAGAAAGGAAGAATATTTAATAATAAATTTCTTGCATGCTGTCATTCATTCCTTGTAATGTATATRTTATATTACCTGCATATTGCTTTGATGGCTCCACATTTGGCTAGCATTGGATGTAACGGAGAATGAGTTGATAAAATTCTTAGTCCCTCTGATACAGCTGCCTATAAAAACCAAGATTTTTTGTGAGTTCATCATAAGTGACTAATTCGATGATTAGGTGGCCATCTTGAATTACTAGACATTGTGGGTCATCCAGGAGTTAAATAGTCAAAGCTTTGTTACAATAATGGTGTCATTTGACATGTAGGACCATTCATAAGTTACAAGACAATTTGACAATAGAGATGAGTTAAA